GGTACTTTTATTTTCTCCTTAATATGGCTATAAAATTAAAATGAATATAGAATAAAACTTTTCAAGTAGATATCTCTGCGTGTACAAGAGATTTCTTTAAAATTTATCCATTTCTCCACCTCCACAACAAGTACCTACAAGTACCTACCACTACAAGTACCTACCGCTCTTAATATAGATGATAGTAATCATGAAGAATGCGGATCGTGTCCGGAACACCGCACTCCTGCATGCACCCGGACCACGTATTCAAGGTCAGGACGCAAACAGCGATGAGGTGCACCTACCGCCGTGCCCTCCACGTCCCCTGTAATTCCGGTTGATTTTACATCGAGTCTCTTGATGTAAAGCAGCCTTCAGCTCATTGTTACCCACATGTATGCACGCCTGCTCAATTAATTGGCTATCCCGAATGTGTTTCTTTACTGAGTCTTGAATTTTTTATGTTATTCTCGCTCTGGCGTTTGTTATTGCAACTACTCTGTAGAAAAAGCAGTCAGTCGTCTCAGTACTCTTTGACAGTCCCCGCTTGCTAGTTTACGTACCGGGTATGTTCACACATATCACTTCAAACAAGTTATTTCCAGTGATTGTATCTAATTTATGAATACAATTTACTTGACATCTCATACGTGCAAATTAATGTTATATCACGTTAGAAATTATTCGTGCTAAAGATATATAGATATAGATCTTTGCAGAATAGTTAAATAAATTTATCTATACCCGCCTCCTACAGAATGTTCAGAGTAATATTCAACTTAATTCTCATGAATGGGTTTGTTTGTGTTAGAGCGAACCGTAGATGAACGAGAAACATGAACCCCAGCTAGGCAGGATTGTCTCGAACGCTTGTACAGTCCCGCTAATATAACATATAATCTAAACGTTCATATATTCAAGTCTTTTACCACATCCTAATTTTATTCAGTCTAAAAATAATTATTAGTGACCTTGAGTCGCATAGTTTCACGTCGCCATTTAATTATCTGTGTACATTAATTATCAAGTCACATTGCGTGTGCCTCGTGGTTGCGACATAAGTTTTCTGCACGCCTTGCATGCCGTTTGTTCGGGTGTTGGTCTTGCAATGCTATTGTCGTAGGCACGAAATCTCATTAACTTGCTAACGTGTAGTTGTGATGTGGCTCAAGGCTTGTTAGTGCGCGCGATGTTGTGCAATGCTATACGTATGAGTGCTTTCCTTAATTCTGATGCTGATTTCAACGAGCGGTAATGGAAGTGAAGTAGGCGTCTAGTCTGCTTTGTACGGACCACCGTGCATGGAATAATTATTTTAAGTGAATATACTTAATTAATTCTTGCTGTGTATGATAATTTATTTTGCACAGGAAGTCCAGCATGTATGACTCCAAAAGCAGAATATTTTCCAGCATTTTGTTGGCGTAACTATCAAATTGCTGATGCGATTTTTTATACCACTGATATTTTGTCAATTTGTTTGTGCAAATATTTGGAACATACCTAAGTTTTCTTTGAACTATGTTTGATCTGCTCGTGTAAAGTATTATATTTAAATATTTTCCAAGGTATTTTTCAAGCCCTTTTTTAATTGTTAGACTTTGGCCTTTATATATTCGAAGATTCTTGAAATTCAAATTGCATGTTATTTGCTCAATTGTACAATGGGCAAATAGGTAAAAGTTGTCGGTTAATCCCATTTCAATTGAAAATATTTAAATATAAAGTCTAACCTCGTTCTGTTGGACTTCATTCTCGATCGCTACATTAAATACGAGTGACAGCCACACTCAAATACATTGACCAAAGTGACACAATCTGCGTGACTACACAATAGCGTGGTCGACCAGCTAACAGGCGTGGTCTGCTCGCCTCAGCCATTAATTCCTTGCGTGCGACGTGGGATTATTTTTTTCAAAGATTGGTGAAAGTTGATCGAACTGAATGAAATCCAAAAGCCACTTTCATTTGACGTTGTGGCTTTTTCCTTAAAAACCTAACTTTCTTCTCTGGATGGTCCACGCCCGCAGGAGTTTCACGCGATGAAACTGCCAGTCTGGAACTAGACAATAGAAAGCTTTACATGTTCCCCACTTCAGAAGCGTCGTCTTCTCCTCAATTGAAGTAGAAACCAAAATTACTTGCTTATTCGAGCGAACCGATATAGTTCTTGCATGAGCTATCGGAATAAACTAAAAATCGCAGTTTACAGCCTTAGTTGGAAATTTTGAGTTTCACGAAAGGTTTAAATGAATAAATTCAGTACCACTAGTCTGACTTGAGAAAGTTTCAGTATAATATAATGCAATGTTGCATATTTTTAGCTCATTTTCTCATTTATGGAAAAAATACACTATTTCCGTCTGTCCGTCCGTCCGTCTGTCCGTCCGTGACTTCACGTTTTCGTTGACGAGAAAAGACGCTCTCTGTCACTCACTGCAGTGAGTACTGAGTTATATTTTTAGCTTTCCTTCTACGACAATAGTTTTGTTCATTTTGTCACAATAATCAAAGCATAAGACAACCTAGCCCAATTAATAATCCAACATAAGCTGCAACGTTTTTTACTGAATTTATTTATTTATATTATGCGTTCAAGAACAGACTAGATGAAGCTATGAAGAAGTACCTATATATAGGTTTCGATTATAGATACGCCTTCCACATCACAATTGGTGGATGTTCGGCAGCAGTTCGCTTCAACGTCAGTCTTGGATAGATTTGTTCCAATGGCTTGTCCGAAGCTCTCAAAGAGACAAATCAGGAGCATCATAATTAGAATCGGCGACAGGCCAACCCGGCTTGTTCTTCAACGCTGATATTACTAAACTATATGTTATGTTACATTATTTCAATTGTTTTGGGTTCCATTTCAATTCGAGACGATGCTTATAAATTTTTTACCTCAATTCAATATTGGCTTTCACTATGCTTCGATGCAAATGCACCGCTACACTATAACTGAATGACTTCAATTATTTCTTATGAATCGGTAATAAAAAGGCTGGTTCTTTCTATGTAAAAATGCGTAGTTTGTAATTCTCATCTCGTTAGATTTTCGAGATTATCATTATTATTGCCTGGTCCATCTTAGGGCTATATACGTATGTCAATAACTAAAAATAATTTCTTGCTGCATTCACATTTCAAGTTACTATATATCAAATATAAAATTTTTCCCTGTTATAACGGTTCGTGGATATAGGTATTTTTTAAAAATATGTATGTTTTTACAACACTCAAAAAATTGTAAAAATATGGAAAAAATATGGAAAAATATGGAAAAATGTGTAAAAATATGTAAAAAAAATATGTGTATTTTTCCAACATACAGTCTTTTTTTTCTGGACAATACTCAGTTCTAGGTATAATACTAGCATTCTATGTGTAATCTGATACGGATGACAACTCTGATGCGGATGGATGTGCGCTGCAGTTTTTGACTTGGCGCCGGAAATTCCATATTATCGAACCCGTCCAACCCATTCGAGGGCAGTTAGTTGAATATTCTCTCTGCTCATTACATAATGCAACCATGAATGATGATTTTGATTAGGTTTTATAGAATTTCCATGTACTTAATTGTATCTAGATCATTCGTGTTCTGTCTCATACGCAAAACGAGCTTATATACAGTGGGTGCAAAAAGTATCCGACACAAAGGAAAAACTTCATTTTATTAAAGCTTGTTCAATGAAATAACAAACAAACACTATTCTAATATAAATTTACATGGGAAATACAAATATCATATCAAAACATCAATATCATTAAATGTTGACCTTATATAATTGCAATTTTGTAAAAGTAAGGCTCAGAACAATAAAGTTTTTCCTTTGTGTCGAATACTTTTACTTACAGCTACGTTACTTTTTCGTGCTTGATTACGTTGCGTTGAAGGAAACTGTCGATCAGCACGGGCAACTTCAGAGGACGATTTTAACGTTCATTAATTCGCTGGAGGTAAGGTCGTGTATATCGAGGTTTCATAGGAAGCTGTTCCACTAGTTTACAAATATTTCACGAGTGAGAGGAAATTACGTTAATTTTTTGTATTCGTGCATTAACGATTAGTTTATAGAGCTGTTTTTTTCTCAATGCGTATGTATACTCGCGGAAGCAGCAATCGCGTCATGAATCTGCACCTCATGACAAATGATGATTGAGAAATCTTGGTTAATGCAACATTATACAAATGTAGCCAATTACTAGGTGTGGATTATGAATATTATCTTTACATAAATTGTTGTTGTAGCCCGGTATTCTACGGAATTTTGCTCTTATTATTATTTTTATTATTTATTTTTACTATTCTTATTATTTTATATTAATTATTATTTGTTTTTTTTTTTCATTGAAAGAACTTTTTAATATTATTATTCAATTTAGAAAAAGTCTTTCACTGCAAAGTTATCAAGTATTTATATTCGACAGGTCTTTCTCATTAACATTATTTTGCATGTGCTGTGGTTCGTATGCACATATATATAGAACGAGTCAGTCTAAATGTAGAAATCCATGAGCTTGACTGCATAGGACATGTTGAGCGCAACGCGAAGACAAAAATACATTTTATATATTATCTAACATTTATGTGCTATCTAAATTTTAGTGTCCGAATTGCCAAATTAGTTTGTGTAATTCCTCTCATTGTTGTGATATTGCTTTCATCCACATTCCTATACCTTCGTGTTGTGCTGCATTACTACCACATTTCTAAATCTTTCTGTTATGCCGCACTACATCAAAATTACTAAACATATACGTGAAATTTAAGGTCATCCACATGACAATTCAGCTGTAAGAACCAGTCCGTATCAGCCAGTCAGTTGTGTCCCGCCAGCCCTACAGTGAGGTTCTTACCTAAACTCGCTCCCTCATCCCACTCTCAGCGATTCTTTGCCCTTACGCTAGAGTCGTGGCTGTGCCGTGAAAGATTTACTATCAGGTGATCTTCTATCACCCTCTAGGTTATCATACGTCACCCTCAAATAGACACCTGACATTACGTACTACAGATGGCGGGCTGCGTGCGTGTAGCGTCCCTGCTGCTGGTGCTGCTGTGCGCGTGCTGCGCTACAGCGCTCGAGTGCTACCAGTGCTCGGGCTGTGAGGAGGGACAGCTCGGCCACCCCATCCACTGCACCCAGTCGCAGAACGCCTGTCTGGTGAGCCTACATGCATCACTGTTACATGCATGCTGTATGATTGTGTTGCTGTTTTAGATAAATAACATAGTAATTAGAATTCATCGCTGTTGATTTATCTATGTAGCGTCAGCCTACATGCATGCTGTATCAATGTAGGTGCAATATATAATGTTTCATGTCGTGAAGCACTTCTCCGATTAATTGAACCTATTTTAATCCTCTAGTTAATCTATCAAGTATCTATAGTTTACATTAAGGTTATTTAAATTGCATCGGATTTTATCGCACGAGCACCGGAATGGTGCATCTTCTCTTAAATTTAAATATAATATTTTGAATCCTTTAAATTAAATTTGTCTATAATCCTTGGTAGAATTATTGTTTTATTTTATTCAGACTACAATTTATCGCCGTTAAATCAAATTATTGATTTAGCTATTATTAATATTAGCTGTACTAAATCCAATTATTTATTTAAAATCTTTAATGCATTTCGTCGATTATCGCTCTCAGAAACTGGCACTTGTCCGCATGAAGAGGTTGCTTTCTATACCAATTATCATGAGCGTAGTTTCGCGCCGACTGTCGTTTATTTGCTAGTATATTTAAACTGTATCAACTAAATCTGTATCGACAGTTGCTGCATGGCTATGTAAATATGGTACAGTTGATATGTGCACTGAAAAGATCAGCCATATACGTATAGAAGGAGTTCGGCATTATGGCCTGAACTGAGTACGTTTACTGTTTTGAAGCTCACTGAAGTAATGAAAGTTATACTGTGTTGACGGCTCACATTGTACGTGTTGACGGCTCACATAGTACGTGTTGACGGCTCACATTGTGCGTGTTGACGGCTCACATTGTACGTGTTGACGGCTCACATTGTGCGTGTTGANTGGCTATTCCACAGTTTTAATTTCGTTATCTAGTTGGCTATTCCAAAGTTTTAATTTCGTTATCTAGTTGGCTATTCCACAGTTTTAATTTCGTTATCTAGTTGGCTATTCCAAAGTTTTAATTTCGTTATCTAGTTGGCTATTCCACAGTTTTAATTTCGTTATCTAGTTGGCTATTCCAAAGTTTTAATTTCGTTATCTAGTTGGCTATTCCACAGTTTTAATTTCGTTATCCAGTTGGCTATTCCACAGTTTTAATTTCGTTATCTAGTTGGCTATTCCTCAGTTTTATTTTTATTATATAGTCGGGCACTCGACAGTTTTGATTTACTTATCTAGTTGGCTACCGTGGAAGATAAATTCCCTGCATAAATTGTAATTCGTCCACCTACGGGATATATTTTCAACGTAAAACTACGAATAGAAGATTCTCCGGATTTTGCTAGAGCACAAAACTTGAGTTCAACATTGAACTCTAATGAGATCTGTAACATGATTTTCTTTTGTCTGTATAGCAAGTTGAATAGATTTTTCTGGTTCGCGTCTTCTCACGGAATTTTTGAGTTACCAGTGATGAAGCACGAGTATCCTAAGACTGATCGCAAATCTGACGAACAAAAAAATATTTGAAAAAGTACCGGCCAGAATACTCTCTTATTCCAAATGTATGTATATCCCCTTAACTGCGCTGCACTATGTTAGAAAATCGACGTTAATAGCACTAATAATTCGTGTTTAATTAATTCGTTGTCGTACTCGCAGGTTCGCACGAGGCTCGCGTCATCAACTGCTGCTCCACGAACTACTGCAACGGCGCCTCCCTCGCCTCGCCCGCCACCCTCGCGCTGCTGCTGGCCCCTCTTGTTGCCAGCGTCCTTATGCGCTAACACCAGCGTCCTTATGCGTTAACACCAGCGTCCTTATACGTTAACACCAGCGTCCTTATACGCTAACACCAGCGTCCTTATGCGCTAACACCAGCGTCCTCTTGCGTTAACACCAGCGCCCTCTTGCGTTAACACCAGCGCCCTCTTGCGTTAACACCAACGCCCTCTTGCGCTAACACCAGCGCCCTCCTCCTTTTTTTTAACACCAACGCCTACTGACATTAACACCAGCGTTACGAGTCAACTCTGGCGTCTAAATACCTGCGCCAAAACAAGGCCCTCATGCGGCTACTGCATAATCTTGCGCAACACCAGCGCATTCTTGCGTCAAAGCCAAGGTTCCCAAGCGTTAGCATCATTAAGGACCAATAAGTGTGGCCAGTTCAGCGTACCATAAACTGTCCTTGAGCTACAATGATGTCATCTTAGGTGCTTAAGTCATAACCCTGTCTAATTCTAACCATGTTTTCCAACTGTTATTATTAAATAACTTCCACAGCTTCCATTAATGCTGTTCATTTAAAAAGTTAGAATGATTAGAGAGTGCACTGTAGTGCTGTAATTATATATGTAAACGTTCGGATTAGATGGCGACCAGTATATGCGTGATCGGTAAGCTTCTTGCATTTTTTCACTCTAATATTCTTGGTTACGTACCACGAAGATCACGATACAATGTTCCGATTGCTTGCAGTCTAATTGTAATAATTGTTGAGTATTTAGTTCATTAATCCGATGAACATATCATAAATTACTGTCTTTTAAAGATGCTGTAATTTCTACCGTCTGTCGGCAGGAAGTATAAATCTAAGACGTCGATGTGATGTAGAGTTTGTACTGACGTTTTACTGCATGAATTGCCTTAGAAGGAAATCAACAAAAATCTGTTGTTTCGGACTTCACTCATCATTCATGTTAATCCATTATTTCCTTGACTATTATAAAGGAGTTAGGTTTTTATTAAAAAACTCCAGCTTCTTTACTTCTCGTCTTCTTGAATCTCTTCACGTATGTCTGCAGGTTGAGTTGAATTTCAACCACCAAAGGTGGCAAATTTTCCCTTGCATTTCGCGAGCTCTACCGATGAATATAGATATACATACGTATGTTTAAGATGATTTTATTTTAGAATAAATAATATTTGCTGAGTAGAATATGTTTTGTTTTCGTATTGATGAATACAGATTATATTTACGCTTTCCTTATTTTGAATCTGTAAAACTAATAGACTATCCTGATATGCAAAGATTTTCTTCAATTCATCAAAAATTAGGTCATTGCTGTATTGTGGAAATGTAATGAGTTGTTAGAAAGAAATATATTTTTCGAGATAATATTCAGTGTTAGCTAAGAACTGATAATTGAACATTATTCAGCCAAAAAAATTTTCTCTACGTATGTAGTGCAGATCACGCTATTGTTTTTAGATTTCTTAGTGAGCGGCACTCAATTATTATGCATAATTATAGAGATCAATAAATAAACTTGTACGTATGTCGATCCAAATTTCATACTCACTGCGTCTTGTAACTTTATTATGAATGTCAATACATTTGAAACATTAAATTTTGAAAATGTCATTTGGAAACCTGATTTTCAATCTGCCAGAGCCCACGAAAAATATAGTTCAACTTACTGAGGAAGCCTAAATGAACAAATGCTGCAACTTTATGCTATTATAATTATACGTACACACCGTTCCTAAAGTAGATTTACGCCACTAACTTTCATCATTTTCTAAATTGTATTCTTTAAATGCACGAAACATTCTTAGTTAACCTTCAACTTTGCCGACCTTAACCACATCGCTGATTTACGGAGTCAGTAATTGTATTTGTAACGTAGAACTTGATTTACAACTTAATATTAGTGCAAAACTTTTATTATTACAATGCCAGGAGGATCTTCAATATTGCACAAAGAGGGAAAGGCAAAGTTGCATTAAGCACCACTTATTGATATCTTAAATAACGCGACCACCAGCCACGGCCCACATGCCAAGTCAAGGCAGGTTAGCCTTATGCCATTTCATTACTCACACATCGTGTTTAGTTCTGTGAACAGTCAATAATGATAGCGTAATGTAATACCTTCCTATTATAAGAAAATTTGCTTAAATAATAATTTAGTTATATAGAATAGTACTACAAAATACTAGTTTACCTTGTTTAAGTCAAATTATTCATTAAACAAGTTTTAATAAGCGTAGGAAGGATTAAAACAATTCATAGTTCAAACAATTCATACCTTGTGGCGCCTCGCACTTAGAGGATGAATGAATCGAGAACAGCGCTCTTCACCAAAGGGGGAAACTCTACGCACTCTCAGCTCTGCCATCAATGGTTAATAATAATATGAGTGGGCAGCTGTATATAGTCCCAGGCTTTAACCATCGTGTAGCACGGATTAGGCGTCACTCGGTCCGTATTGCCACCTAGACGGAAGTTTTGAAAACTTACGTGTCGAAATTTAAGCGTGCTCATCTTAGGTCACAAGAAATCTCGAGTGATGGATAAAAATAATACAAAAGAATATAACTTTCATAAAAAAGGTCCCAAACGGACAAAACGGCCAAATAAATTTTGTCGGGTCATTGCATTTAAAAAAGGCCGCATTTGCGAAATTTGGCCGGAAAAAGGCTCATCTGGCAACCCTGAGAGTCCGGATTGGAAGGCAGTCAGGATTGCCAACATTCCAGAGACTGGCGGCAACAGCGTGAACTGCATCTAAAAAGTAACACTAAATTGGTATTTGGGGTCATGATCACATCCGGAATATCCTGTCATTTCAGATGAAACTGATCGACAAATGACTATTGTGAACACGAATCCAGATACACATAATAGAAAACACAACAAGGAAAATTTATATTGATTTACCACTTTTTCATGTGCCCGTACATAGTGAGAAATAGTCGTCGTTTAACACGTCTCGTTTAAATAATAGTCTTCTCGAGACGTTGTTGTAACCTAACTCAGAGCTCATCCCTCACGAATACCTGCTTTAAAGGATCTGCCGAGCATATGCATAATAGTACACACGTCAGAAGACCCCATGAGGGGTCTGACGAGCATGCTCACGCGTCAGAAGATCCATTCAAGGGTCTAACAAGCTTATGCATTATACACACGTGAGAAGACCAATTCAGTGGCCTTGAGAGCACAGACTCGCATGGCGGGTATAGACACAAGTCAGAAGACTCTTGATGTGTCTGACAAGCATAGACACGTCAGAATACCATATGAAGGGTTTGACAAGCATTGAGGCACGCCACGGAACTCTCCCTGAGGTCTGCGGAGCAGAGACACATATCAAAATACCCTCTTTGAGGGTCTTACGAGCATAGGTATACTTCTGAAGAGTCAGAGGTGTAAAGTCTTCATGATACGATTATTATTATTATTATTCCACGAAGAGATTGTCGTGGCGTCTCGTTCGGATCGAGCTTCGAGGGCACGTTACAAGTGGCTAAAAAAGACACGAGAGGATAAAAACAGATGACGTCTATGCTAAAACAAAGGACATATGCCAAGACTGACGACGTCTATGCTAGAACAAACCACACCTATGCTAAACCAGTAATATACATGATAGATTAGATGACGGCTAGGTCCAAGATTCAAAGGCTCTACGGAAAATCTCTACCTCTCATAAATTAATTATCGTTACACTCACGATCACAGTGAAAAATGCCGATCCCAGACCAAGTCCCCAAGGCGTTCTGCAAATCCTTGGGGGTGTCATAACGGAGAACTGCAAGGCCATTTACAAAGTTCTGAAGACGGAATACTTCAAGAAGAATGATACGAGAAAATTCACAGGAGACGGTTCTGTATGTTGGCACATTCTTAACGATAAACCGAAAGAATTAAGTTGAATTTCTTTGTTGCGAAGACTTTATTAGCTGAAGGATCTATACTTGCTTGCACTTTTCAAAGTCGCATCGATCAGTGATTTTTTTAGTCCCTGTAGCCTTTCGCTTTAATTTTCGATGAGCAAGAAAAGCTATATAATAAATTAATGAACACACCAAAGAAATCGTGCGACCAGTGTCGTACACCTTGCGGCGTCTCCGCTCTCAACAACAATACAGACAAATTAAGAAGAAGTTTGTCCCGTTAGTCGGCTACCCGCCACACGGTCAGACTTATCGTCAGTCTTGCATGAATCTAAAGGTCTCAAACATCCGTCTGTTCCAGTTTTTTCAAACCTCAAAACTGTCATGCAAGACGTCACGCTCAGTCGCATGTCAAACTTGTCGTGACATGCAAGTTTGACACGTTTAAGTTTGAACGTGCGGATGGGGATAAGTCTCATGATTTTTCTAGTCCTTACACGCTTACGGATACGCCCCATGATCTTGGGGCTAGCGCAAGTTACCGAAAGTATTACAATACGTCCAATTGAGTTTTTTTTTTCATCCAAATCGTCTTCTGATGCAGCTGGTGATAGGCTCTTCTATCTTGCAGGGCCTGTTGGGAGAGTTGTAATTAGTAAATGAAAAGCGAAGCTATGTGATCAACACTGATTTTAATGTAAACGACGTTAAAATAAAAATATTATAGTATTATGTAATTTTGCTATGAATTGTTATTGACCACATTGGATACTATTGACTGACAAGGACTTTGAATTTTCAATCCTCGCTTCTGACAAGGAAAACTTGTCAATTCTATACTTTGCACAATTTTGAGTGATTCCTAATCACTAGTAATCGTCAATATAAGTGTGTTATGGCATATTTTCTTCATTCTTTCTAAATAATTGAGATTTTAAATGCAGCAGAATTACAAGAAAATCGCAGAAGGGTACTAAATAATTAAAATAACCGACGTTAGAAAATTCTAAAACAATAATGCAGTACGTACATGCATATACCTATTCATACATGGTATATTTAATTAGATAAGTTTAATTGAAGACCAGACAATGAAAGCCAAAAATAAGATCTTCTTGTTGGCTTTCTCAATGTCGTAGTCATCAGTCAATTCACTTCAATGTAGTAATCATGTTAAAGTCTACAAGTCTCATGAAAAAATTGTCGACTTCGTCTTCATTGGAGTGACTGGGCATTGGAGTGATATAGGAGTGACACTGAGCAGCCGTCTCACTTGGCTCCTACAGCCTGGAGGAAACTGAAGTCACCTGAGACAAGCGCACAAGAAGATCTGTACTCGCACCATGCTGGAGGAACCCACCAGCATCGTCCCGGCATCAGTGTGGGTACAACACCCATCTTCTGTCCCGGCATCAGTGTGGGTACAACACGCATGAGGTATTCCTTATCGTAACCTGTCTTCTATTTTACATTATATGTATTAGTTTTAGTACCAATCTTTCCCAATCATACACACATCTTCGACCAACATTTTATATCTACTAATAAACTATCGAGAGAGTACGTATTGCGAATTAATATCCCGACATTTGTTCCCGTTGGATTGTTAAAAATCATTCTCTTGGTGTGTCAAAAATCGGATCTTGGTATGCACTGTCATGGGTGGATCATGGAATATGACTGAATATGGGAATCAAAAATAAAAATATTTCAGAGAAGGCGAAGATGTTTTTCTTACTGCTTACTTTTTATGGATAGGCTAGTTAAGCTATAATGATAACACCTTTACATCTTCATTTTGAAACTTGCTTTTTAGTATTTATATCTTGTCTTCATCTTGGAGGTATCCGAATCGTAAAATGTTGAACTATAAAAATATAAATTATTGTTTATCTATAGCAGTATAACATTCGTTTTCTGTTCGGAAAATTATATTATTATTGAATGGCTTATCTTTACTGTGCGTTCACGGAAATGTGTAAAAATTGCTCGTCGTCATCGGCTGTTTGGTCGCCATGTCGTCACCACGCAGACCGGAAATGACGTGCGGTTTAGTTCCCCGCTATATCATCGGCGCATATCACATCAATGGGATCAAACAGTATTCATTATGAGTATATAAACTATGCATTGTATGAAATAATTAAGCATGTAGAATTTTTCCCTGCCTTCTTGTTTTGTATGACATTTCTGGTTAGAACAAGGTAACATCTTATGCGTGGTACTCACGAAATTTGCTTCGACAGGAAATTCGTTACGCAATTTTAACTGCATGTTCATGGAACACGTTTGCGTTCTCCAAATTCAAAATATATGTTACGTTTTTCAATAATACGATCTTTAATATCATAATTATATTATTTTCTGTATCCTGCCTAATTTTTATTTTAATTTCAGCGTTCTAATTCAACTACCTAGATTTGCATACTGTATAATAATTGATCATACGGATATATATTTATAAAGTTTGGTTCATTTTTTAACATTCCGGCAAAAAAGGTGTTGAGGCGCTTCGTAGGTCCTTAGGTAACGTATTAAATCTCTTAATAATGTCTTCAAAGAAGTTCAAGAATAAATTTGAGCAGAATTCAAAAAAGAAAGTTTTATTAAAATTCGTATTAGAGAAGATTGAACCATTATTCGCGGAAAACGATTTGCAATCATGAGAGTAGATATACCTTTCCTTTCCTTTGAAGTATTTTCTTGGTTCGCTTGTTGTTGTTGTTGTGAAAGCTTTTGCTCAAATGCTTCACGTAGCGTTTGAGTAAAGAATTGTTTCGATGACTTTTTAAGAAGGTATATTATGTACATTTTAATTTTTGAAGACACGTGTTATAATTGCACTGAACCCATCGATCGTAACCGCGTCTTAACGCTTGGGTTGGGCGAGGTGCAAAGATTGATAACGATAAGAATTGTGCGCTATAAGAGAGAGTAATCGGGTTGGAACGAGACCATTTAATTGTCTGTCCCCACTGCGCAGCGCTGGCCGGCTGATACGAGTGATGGAACTGCCACTCCTACTCCTCAAATCTTAGAGCTTTGCTCTTTGATGTGATGTGTCCGTTGGTTTCATGTAACGTGTCTTTCTGTTTGATGTGATGTGTCTGTTTGTTTGATGTAACGTGTCTGTCTGTTTGATGTAACGTGTCTGTCTGTTTGATGTAACGTGTCTGTCTGTTTGATGTGATGCGTCTGTCTGTTTGATGTAACGTGTCTGTCTGTTTGATGTAAAGTGTCTGTCTGTTTGATGTGATGCGTCTGATGTAATGTGCCTGTGTCTATTTAGTGTTAATTGTTTGTATAGAAAAGTAATTTTCACAGCTTTTTAGACAGCGGCTCAAGATGTGTCTGCAAATTGACCAAATATAAGAACACCTAAGAACTGAAGCAAGTGATGAGCGTAAGATAAGATGCAATTTATCTAAATGTCAGTATAAAAATAGCGACCTGACCCTTTTCTTTCCAGTTGAAAATGACGGCTGCAGGTTACTTTTATGTTGTATCTACAGTAGACGTCACGATCCTGTATTTCATACGTGGAGGAGATATGAGTGCATAAATGATGATAAATTTTAGATAAATAACTTTCACTTTATTCATTAAATCAATTGACCGATAATCACATAGAATATATTGAGCTCTTTTAAAATGGAAATCGAACAAGGCTAAAAGCCGGATGCTTATAGGTTAGTGAGTATATATATGAATTAGTATATATCCGCAAATTCTGATATTTCAGAGAATTCATTTCGAATAATCGCTATAATAAATATACTTGTAGTTCGCATATTTTAATCGAGCATTTGAAACCAGGTTATTATTACTATCGGAGGCAAGGTATAAAGGATGGCTCGTATGTGGTTGTCAACTTGCCTGGTGCTGCTTGGGATGTACAGCGTCGCAGCGCTCGAGTGCTACACGTGCGCTGACTGCAAGCAAAATCCTGCAGTTCTCGCTCCGTGCCCCAGTTCCCTGTTAACTCACTGCTCGGTGAGTTTTTAACTTATTTAACATATTGATCTCGGCGCTGAAGTGTAGGCCTGATGTGGGCTGTCGCCGATTCTTTTCCTTTTCGTGCCTTGTTCACAGAAGATCTAAAATCGTGTCATTTGACCGGATCTTTTCATGACTGACGATATATGTTTTGAAGTAGCTACTAGACTTCAACAGGGTTCGATATGGTGTTAATGAGGTCTACATTAACACTGATATATTGCACAACAAAAACGTGTTTTTGTTAATTTAAAATATATTTAAATGTTTCCAGAACGTGATTCGCTGTATGACTGCACTATTTTTCACTCACAGTTTGTGTTTTTTGAAAATTTCGAGGGGCTGATGTTTACGCGATAAGTCCTCGTGTTTAATTTTATTTTCGCATAAACTAATAATTATCCTGCTGTATCACATAGATCGAATCAAGTGATTCCTAGATTCAACAAGAAAACAATTCTGCACCTATTATAAATATCTGCTATTATAACAAAACTGCGAGACCTGACATGTGTTCCTTTTAACCTGAATATACAATATTTTGTTCAATAATTTCACGTTGATCAGATATGCACGATCGTTAGTTTGTTAAGATGATTTTTCTACATAACTTCGTTGAAAGATTTTGCGGACAATTATGACTGGAAGGCATTATACTTTGTATTCGAGTTAAATTTCAACTTGCTCATCATGCAGCCGTTTGTTTTTATCACAGAAGCATTTTTTCGCAAATAAATCATGTAGCTTAACGATTCCTATGAAAAAACTTGACGGATCAGTGTATAGTATTACTTTTCAATGTATTTTTTTTTCAATTGCAGCACATGGAGGTGAACGGCTTCATTGCGAAGTCATGTGTTCCAAAGCTTTCCTGCACGTTACGTAAGTATTCACTTAAGTTGACGAGCATTTACCCAAGTCATTACACTTACTATGACGATTGTTAGTGTTTGGGACGAGTTTTTGGTATGACGTTCATAATAAAGTGAGATAGTTTTTTAGAGAGAGAGAGAAGTTTTTTTTTTTTTTTTAAGTTTTTTTAGCAGAAACGCTGGGAAATATGCAAAACTAAGGAGCAATGAAAATCAAAATCATAGTTGGACTGTAAAATAAAAAGAGCTATTATTTCTACATCGAATTTAAAAGAATCGTTCGGTGTGACACTAATCGAACCTCGATCGCGATCCTCATGATTGTAAGACTCACTTAATTATAGCAACAATGTATTCGATGAATACAATATGGGAAAAAACATTTAATTGTTGAAATTTAATAATTCAACAATCTTGAAGTAACCATGCAGGATAAGTGCTTAAAATTTTGATAAAATATGCACTATAGCGCAACAATGGCACTTATTTGTTCCAAATGCAACAGATTGATCGGATAATTTTGAACAAATATATAATATTATTGTCTGCTTGTATCTTTTCGAATATCTAATATATTGTTGGCAAATTTAATTTATTGTTGGCAAAATTTTCCTTTTAAATGAATTAATTTATGCGAAAATTAAGAGATTTTTTATATCATCGCTATTAGTTATATATGAAAACTGTTCATAATTATTTAAGGTGAAAAATTAAAAGTATGGATCATGGTTTTGTAAATTCAGAACTAATATAATATCATGCCGTGAATTATTACTTAGCTAACTGAATTTCTTCGAGTTTTCTTTAAAGCAACTGTGATATAGCGCTGCGTTTTCACGCTAGTGCTTCTCATTGAAGTTTGTATCCCACAATGTCCACTGATTCCCAAATTTTCCGATCCAGAGAAGTGAAAAACAAAGCCATTTTAAACTGCTAATTTTTTCACAGATCTGTAGTTCTTCAGCATTGCACAAAGGCATTTATTTTCTCCTGTTCACTATTTTGAATAAGTTGCCGGTCTCCGACAGGCATCCCCATGCAACCAGTTCACAATAGTGAAAAGAAGGAAATAAATTCCTTTGTGCAATGCTGAAGAACAACAGATCTGTGAAGAAATTATAAGCTGTATAAAATGGAGTTGTTTTGCACTTCTCTGGCTCGGAAAATTTGGGAATTATTGGACTTTGTTCGATACAAACTTGTCGTAGACCACGTATAGACCGCCACTTCACTGCTTTGCTGAACTATCATGATCCCTTACCTCAAGAACGTAGCCTCCAACACTGGACTGTAACATTATCAGCCGCTAGCCACAAGACAGATCACATCAATTTAAGTAGATCAACCAGCCCGCAGGAAAGTAGCCGGCCATAGTATGGCCTGACATATCGTCTGCAATACGCGAAAAAATTTTGCACCACTCGGACAGAGCGCGCCGGAGCCTTAAGCAGTGAATATCACATCAAATACCAGTTAACCATAAGTAATTTCAGAGCTGCGAGAAGAAACAATTCTTTCCTATTTGATCTCATTCGTCCCTCTAATGCTGGCTATGAATTTTTTGATGTTTGTTTGATCGTATTTGGCTGGCGCTTGTTTAACGTTTTTGTCCCTCCAGCGGGCGTTAATATTAACTGCTGCGACACCGACGGCTGCAACGGCGCAGGTCTTCCTGCTCCCGCCGCTCTGCTGCTGCTCACCGTTCCGCTCATCGCCAGCTTCTTCTTGCGCTAAACCTGTGCTTGGTAGTTGTACTGGTTGATGTTATTATTACTATATGTCGTCGATTTAGTCGAACATGATGGGAGTTCTACAATTTGTGACAACCAGAGGTATTTCAGGCATGTTTTTTTTTTTTATTTTCACATGGATAGTGTGATGTACCCAAACCGAAAATGGTTCTGTTAGTAGATGATGTCCAGTAGATGATCAACGGGGTATGTGGTAAAAACCACTTGCATCTTATGACTTTATGATGACCTTAGGACTTTTCAGTCAATTTGTTATATCACAAATTATATTATAAAATTTAAACAAAAAAGGCCTCAAAAAAGGACGAAAATTTTATGATTTAGGAAGTTTAAGCTAACCAGTGACCAGTCCCTGCGCGGCCGGCAGCGTACGCGCCAAAATCTTCCGTTGCACACGACCAAGCGAAACTTATCGATGTTGCTCGTCCGTCAACTCTACTTTCTAATGAAACATTAAACTTCATGAAGATGGACGTCAGATTATAAAATTTGCCAGAGTTCATATTTATCTCGTCACTTTCCAACTAATATAAAGGAGGGCAAATTTTCATGGCATGATTGTAGAACGAGCATATTTTAATAATTAAGCTAAATGCTCGGGAACTTCTGCATCATCGAATAAATTAATGCTTGAATCATGAAGTTTCTTTACCTGCCTAAATTAAAAAATAATGTATTCGATAAATTTTAATGAAAGTTGCATGCATTGTTTCAACCTCCATGCTCTTCACGTGAACGTGAAGGCAGAATTCTCAGTGACGAGGAATTGGATTTAATACGTAAATTTCATATTAAAAGATGCCGTATGTTTGTGGAAGAAAAGATGTAACTGACATGAATCGTTTCTGATCCAGAAGACGACGATTTTTTTCTCTTAGACTATTCACTACCAGGTGCCCACGTGAAAAAACTTGCACTCATATCTCACTTGTTGCGGACGATAGAAAAAATTCTTGGAGGGCGAAAGCCTCGATGACACACCAGCGCCAGGAGCCTCTCTAATCTTCTGGCAACAAATCTTTCTTATTTAAAAAAAAAATAAATAAAAACCGTCTCAGAAGGAAGAGTCCAATGGCAAATTGAGAGGGCAGACAGAGCAGATAACCTATGCATTTTGGTCACTCAATGGTAAAGAGATTCTAAAACTGATTAAAAAATAAGAAAAGCGTTCTATTCATTGAATATATTTATGGATTTGGATCAGACTAGAAAGACTATTGCAGGCCATACTAAAGCAGTTTCAAGTATACGTATTGGTCCATTCAAACTAAAAATTAATTCGCAATTTTATCAGAAAACTAAACTAATTTTTTTAACCAAAGCGAATGTAGTCGGACACGACGCATACAAATCCGATGAAAATCAAAAAATGATGTTCACCTTACGAAAATTTTCGATTTAGGACACTATTAAACGCAAAAGTTATTTTATTTATCCAGGTACGTTCTTTGGACATTAATTCTCCATTAAATAATAATTTGCAATATATCGGTCTAAATAAAATTTATTCTTAGTTACAACGTAACCTTAATGAAACAGGAAACTAATATAAAAGTATCAATAGTAGAAGCTTGCCTTCAATTAGGACTGCTTCATGTGTAAACCATTTTTGGTCCACAAGCAAATAAAAATCGAAAGTAGATGTAAATCTCATATTTATTTATCCGTCATTTTTTCGTACTTGACTTACTGAATTACAACTCCCAGATATTATTTCTTCATAAGATTTATTACAAGAGTCGGGTGACGTAACTCAGGCCCGTATCATAACTACGGCGTGGGGTAAAATTTGATCTAATTCTTGCCTACGTTCAGGTGCAGACACAATATAGATGCATATTATTTTATAAACTGTAACGTTGAGTTGAAACTCTTAGTAAACAGAGCAGTATTATTATATTTCTCTATTCAATTGACAAATAATGATGAGTCAACTTATATTTGATACATATAATAAAATTAGTCTTATCGCACCACAAAAGAGTTTACTTTTCTACAATAGTGACTAATAATTTCACAATCGGATTCTTTGGTCTTGTATTTATTCATTAGGCAATCAATGCTGATTTAAGTTCTAAATGACAGTTAATAAGTTACTTGAGCAGTTACTTGAAATAAAATAAGCATTGAGCAATCGCTCTAAGAGTTTCTTAATCAATGCAGCGAGCCCGAACTCCTAACTTGTTTTCATTCCAGCTGAGATCTGGGCGAAAAGTAAAAATTTCGTCGTCTTGAGGTGACCAGCACATTCCTCTGCAGTGTTTGAATACGAAAGAAGATGTTAAGTTTCACGAGTTTCTTCGACTTGCATAATTATTTTACCGCAGCACTGCAGGAAATAGTGAAAAATTTAGGTAATATCGGAGCTAGATTTTTTTTTTTTTTTAAAGGCCTCCCACACTCACCATTCCAACAAAAAAAAAGGAATTGATTTTATTAATTAAAAACAGGGAATGGTTTCATGTCAATGATCAGGGCCCCGACCTTAACGCCTCTGATGGTGGCCTACACCGACTCCGAGGGTCACTGAGCTGTGACGCGAGCGAGGAGCGGGCCCACGTCGAACTTTTCTCTGACTGCTGTTAG